CACTCAAATTTTCAACTTCACTTCCGGTTTAAACAGGATTTTCACTTCCGGTTGAATAACTTCCGGTGTAATTTGTAGAGCTCAAATAATTTTATGCTGATAGGTAGACAAAGTTATGACAAAAAAACGAAGAAAAAAATACGGACCAGACGTGAAACTTTAGCCGCCATTTTGATTTTTCTGAAATGATTCGATTTTAATTCAGACATAACGGCTTATCCGATTTAGATGATTTTGGTGTCAAATGAAATAAGATCAAAAAAAAAAACATGACATTAGGAAGCCGTTTTTTGATTCTCGATTTTGCTTTTTTGCAATTTCCGGTTGAATTTTTACAAAGTTTAAAGGGTCATATCTCGTGATCTTGACATTTGATGACCTTGACCTTTACAATGTCAAAGGTCATTGACCTTAGCTATTAGTTAATACTTTGACATTTGACCTCCGACATGTACTTCCGGTTTAATAGCTGTCCGAAAACAGCCAAATTCGCAACTTTGGACTGCTCTAGCACGTGACCTAATTAACCTAGAGGGTTAATTTTTTCGGATTCTTAATGTGCTTTTCATGTTATTTCCAGTGATATATAACAATAGTTTTTTAAAGCAAAATTGAAATTCGTAAATTTTTCAAATTTGAGTTTTTTTTACAATATTTCTGTTTCTTTGAGCTTGGTGTATGTATATCTTATGACCTATTTGATGTAGAACATTGAAATTTGGAACACAACTAGACAATTGAATATGAATTCACCTATTCCAAAAAAAAGTTGAGGTGGGCGTGGCACATCCGGGTTGAATTACTAATTGTTTACATTTTGGGGAAGGAGCATAACTCACATAGGATACATTTGTTCTAAAAGGAAATTTGCACACATTTACCTCATTATTTTCGACAGTTTGTTTTAATACTTGTTTCAGCTTTATAGTTCCAAAAAAGGAACGGGATTTGAAATTTCCATATTTTCAATTTTCGATTTTGACCTTTATTGACATTTGTTGACCTATATCTTTTGACCTGTATGATGTAGAAGCTTTAAATTTGGAACACAACATTACATTCAGATTATCAATTAACTTATGCCAAAGAAATGAGGTGAGAGTGGCACATCCGGGTTAAATTACTCATAATTGACATTTTTGGCCAGGGGCATAACTCGCAAATTATACATCTGTTGAGCCACGTTGTCTGAGAAGTTCGATTGTTTCAGGTATTGACCTTGGTTATTTTCTGATACTTTCATTTGTGAGGTCTGTCTACTTCCGGTATAACAATCTTCCAAAGAATTAAAGCTTTTCAACTTTAGACTGTTGCACGTGATGTAATTATCGTAGATGGTTAATTTTTCAAAGTCTTTTGCAATTTGCTACATTTGCAAAGTCCCACTGTAATCGTTTTCCATTTGGTTTGATGTGTTTTTCCAAGTGCTGACGGTCTACTAAGCAGGAAAAGACCCAACACTTGGGCAAAATAACCCCATTTGGCAAAGTTAGGTGTTGGCATTTTCGCTCTATGTGGCCTTAAGGAAACTTCTATTTTTTTCTGTAATCGTTTTTCATTTGGTTTGGTGTGTTTTCCAAGTGCTGACAATTTACTGAGCATGGAAAGACCCAACACTTGGGCAAAATTACTCCATTTGGCAAAGTTAGGTCTAGGCATTTTCGCGCTATATTTCCATTTTTTTCTGTAATTGTTTTTATTTTGCAAATTTGAGCTTTGTAAGGTTTTAAAATTTATTTGGATATGCGCACTTTTCGTCCGGTAGTTCCTTTTTACTGTAAATTTAAATTTTTTTCCGTAATAGTTTTAACTTTGATTTTATGTGTTTTCCAAGACCCTGGGATCTATCTAGTATGAAAAACTCCAACACGTGGGGAACATTGCGATATTTAGCAAAGTTAGGTGCTTAGCATTTTCGGTCAATGTGGCCTATAGAGCGGAAAGTCCTCCGTATTTCCTACCTTAATTCCGAACCTATGACAGACATTTTAGTTCCTTTATTGTCCAGATAGCCAATTTGGATTTTGACTGCAATTTTCAGCTTTGTAGTTTTGGAAGTTTTTAAGATAAAAATATATTTGCATATGCGCACTTTAAGTGCAGTCCCCTGAACTGGAAATTTCCATTTTTTCTGTAATGGTTTTACTTTGGTTTTTTGTGTTTTTCCAAGCCCCTGGAAACTAGATCTAGATCGAACACTTGGGCATAATAAGGATATTTAGCAAAGTCAGGTTTTTGGAATTTTTGGTCAATGTGGCGGAAAATCGTCCATATTTCCTACCCTAATTCCTAACCTATGGCAGAAATTTGAGTTCTTTTTTTTCTCAATTGTCTAATTAGCCAATGTGGATATGGCCTGCAAATTTCAGCTTTGTAATTTTTAAAGATAAAGATAGCTTTCCAGGCAAGGTAATATACGCCCACTGGCAGGTTTGATTTTGAATAAAAAATATTACAGTGACAATCACCAGAATGAAATATCAACCTTCAGTCCTACACTTCTTTTGAATCCTGTGTCCAAGTTTTGTCCAAATCGTGCCTTTTAGTGTTTACTAGCTAGAAATTGAAAGAGTTTTCAACTTCAAGAACAAGGGCAACAACTCATACTAAATATTTTTCGATTCTTTTGATTTTCGATAGGGTTTTCTTTGGGTGATAACAAACACTCACACAAAGTTTCGCCAAAACCCGCCAAAGAATTGTACCGACGAAAGGGCGGACAGACCGGCGGACGGGTGGACATTGATTGCGCCTATTTCATGTAAAATGTATTTGGATATGAGCAGTTTTTCCTTCAAACCGGAAATTTCCTTTTTTTCTGTAATAGTTTTTGCTTTTGTTTTATGCATTTTTCCATGCCCCTGGCTGGGGTCTATAAGTAGGAAAAGACCCAACACTTATTATTTAGCAAATATATCCTAATTCTTAACCATTAGCAGATAATTGAGTTCGGTTTTTTCTCTTCAAAGTGTGTTCTATTTCTTGGGGTGGGGCACACGAGTGGTCTTGATTTTTTTCGCCGATTGGAGGAAAATCTCGCGTGTGCCCGAGCTTTCACAACGAGATTTTCTCGTCACGGACAGGATTATAATATCAAACAAGTTTGATCTTCTGCAAGATAGACCGTCATTAACTTTTTACCTGTCAAGCGCATGCTCCGCATGCGCATGAGCAACTGGAGATTTTTGTCTCATCGCGTTTCCGTGCCAGTCGGCGAAAATCCTGACAGGACTATAATCTCCGACCAAGATCGCCAGTGTGCACGCACCTTTAGAAACGCCACTTCGTGTACAGTATCGTTCAATTGGTTAATTTCACTTCACCTCATGGACTCAATCAATCAAGTAATACGCAGAGATAGACAAAAACTATACTGAAGTGATAAAGCTTTATTACAGTAGAAATTATTATATCATAAATATAAATATTTAATAATTAAACATGCATCTTGAAATGTTAAGTATAATGAATTGATTTCGATATTGATATTAGAACAGAAAACGAAGATTACCCCCATTCGTCATACTTCCTCGCGACCGCTGTAACACAAGTGAGAAAAATTACGTATTCATAGCTAAATATTGTCCTATCAAAATCGGCCCTTCTGTATTGGTAGCAAATTTCAACCAATGAAAACAAATCACTCGTTTGAGAACGTAAACAAAACGAAAGCAGCGTGCCATTATACATTTTGATGAATATGTAGATACAGAATTGAGTAAGATTTTCGTTAAAGAATTGAAGCCAATAGAAAATCAAACCTTACTTTGGAAAAAGGAATGTGTTCTTATCTCTTCAAACGGGAGGCGGTAAAGCGATATTGTGTTTTGGTTACATGACCTCATTTCTGTTCTACCGATCTGATTGGTCAGATTTAAATGCCCCCAACGAAGTGTAGTGGGTTTAGTCAAAACCCGTATTCGTGATACGATGCCTCAAGAATAGGAATCAATTTAGAGTTTGACTACCCATGCAGATCTCTATTGGACGATATATCGGTCTGTGGCTCAAATATTCAAAACTATCCTTGAGATATTAAGACGTTACAAAATAAAGCTATACACAGATCTTAATAGATAATAGCTTTAAATTCTGAAAGATTTTGTCAAAAAAAGAAATAGCACAATACATTCTCTGAAACCAATACTTATCTTGTCTGCACGTAGACAAAGTGTGGACTTGGTGATAGAGGATAAGCACAATATTGGGAATGATTACGTTTTATAAGAATACTGATCTGATGTTGTATAATATACATAATGGAGTCAAAAATAAAACTGGGGATGACAGTTGGTTTCCTGAAAAATATGAAAAAAAAATTGTCTCTTATTGGTACTGGTTGTACTTTGTATTATTGTTTTAGGAGTTTATAGCGGTTTACAGTGCACAACTTTAATTGTACTATCAGAAAACGATACTGTGCAATCACGTTTCACTGCTTTTCAAATGTTTTTAAGTTAATCATACCTGAATTTTCTGGATTAGATTGTGGTTCTGAAATAGAAGAAGTATAAAGTTTTAAATGAATCATTGATGAAGCTACGGCTGATGATGCTAATTTTTATGACGACGATGACGAATTGATAATGAGTAGATTGCAATGACGATTGTGAATTGACTGGTATGGCGATGGACGATGATAATGAAAAGTACGATAATTGATTGATGGATGAATGAATTGTAATGATGATGGTGATGACAAGATAATTGATGAGATATGAAGATTACTTATATTTACCCTTATTTAAGTTTGAGGTAGGGGTTGTTTCAGGCTGGGGTTCAGGGGGCATAGTTGTTGTCGTTTGGTTAACTGCATTAGTAGGTACTGAAATAAAACAAAGTGTGTAGTAAATGGCTTGGTATCTCGTTTTTTTAAACATTGCATTTTTCTACTTAAGGGGAGGGGGAAGGGAAATGGGGTGTTTTGTCTACCCCTTAACTGATCCAGAACCTAACAAGTTGCACCTGATTGAAGTTGTATTTTATACACAGAAGATGTCCTAAAGTTTGTGAACAGTGAGTTTTCGGATAGAAATAGATCCCCCCCCCCCCCTCAGCCCCCACCTTCTTGAACCCACGTGGTTCAACTCACCTGAATACGTGAGTATTGGACTTGGTATTTTCACCCAGAAGGTACTATAATCTTTCACCATGGTTAGACTGAAATAATGTTATATTAGTAGCTGACAAGGGTAAAAACTCTATAACGTAATTAGTTTACTAGTTATTCATACTTAAAATATCTAAATTATATTAAAAAGAAAAAATTGAAACTTTATTCGTTTTTTGTGTGTTTCATTCATGTCAATGACTTAACATTGGAATTAATTCCACCAAATGATATATAGGCAAATCGGAATTTATCATGTATAATGTTTTAGATCAACGACGCTCTTTCGTTCTATCATATTGATTTATACTTACTAGAATGTGACGTCACCAACATCTGATGCTGGTGGATTCCAGGTAAAGGTAGGGTCTGTATTTGGGGTTTTGTTGCTATGAGTAACAGAGTTCGGCGTTCCTTGACAAGTTAATACCTTGGTTCCTTTCGGTAATGATGAAAAAGATCCAACTTGAAGCATATCGCTGTTTTTTCTCGCTTGAAGAAGTAACCCGGCCATTGTTCCCTTGACTTTAACTGTAATATATTAAAGAATTGTAAATTATGAAAGCCACAATTTTCTCTCATCATTTACTTTAATAAATATTTGTCAGAAGCAAAAGTTGTGCTTCATGGATGTTCCACTTTCAATCTAATTCAAATTCGTGCACAATTTCGTTTCATTATATTTTTTTTCAATAATAACGTGTAATCTAATTAGACTGTTTCTCTGTAAAGTAAAAGAGTGAATATCGAGACATTACCTGTTATTGGAGAATTAGGAGAGTATGTTTGCGAAGAAAGTTCGAAAATGTTGATGATTTGCGGTAATCCTTGCGGTGCAACATTGTGCCCTGGCATCATTGTTCCGCACACAGTTGGTGGTGCACCGGATGGATAGGAACTAGACAGTTTGAGACATAAACTTAACACAAATACAGACAGATACATCTTTGTTAGAAAATATCAAATGTCCACGAAAACGATCCTTTTGATTTTACCGAAAATGTAAGAATTAACGTTTTACACAAAATATAAAATCAATCTGGCATCCACAAAACTTAAAGAGATAAGTTCATAACTAAACTGATGTGTTCGATGGTGACTTTCTTCTTGTTATGATATTAATGACATCAGGTTGATTAGATACATTAATTATTTTTTGACCCGTTAATATTTTTCGAGTTTCGGTAAAATCGCCTCAGGGGCGATATATGTATACCAATTAACCAAATGTATAATTACGAGGACTAATGAGGAAGTATATAACGCTAAGTTTATATCTTCGACGACCAACAAACAAGAAATACCATGATCAGAACGAGTTTGGAAGAATGAAGGAGATCGAATAACTCACGCCACACCATCCAGGGCCGAGTTTCACCGCCATGTCATTCGACCCGACCAGATCTAACGAAGAATCAACAACCAAACCAACAACACAGAATCATCCAATTTGAACCAATCCAACTACCAACTACTACCACTACCAACAACTACCTAGTTTGCGATATCAGCATCCGCTGGAAGCGAACGTTAACTTGTCATCTACCTACCTACCTATAGCCACCTTAATTTTGGCAGTATTTATTACTCCGAAGAGAAAATCTCCCCAAACACAGATTTCAGACCTATTTATCAAATGATTAAAAGGGATTAAAATAATATGGTTCAGTGGTATCAAAATAACAATGTTTTCTAATTAATTTATTTTTCATAAACTAATGTTTGCTTTACTGGTTGATCGTACTTAATTATAACTGTTTTACTTTTCAAAACTGTGATATGACGTCCTGATCCCCTTTAATTTTGACAAAACCTAATATGGAAGTTCAGACTGTCGCCACTTCCTAGACGTTGTGATATTTCTTACATATACATCTGTAGCAATAGAGATCATGCCGTTAGTCGGTTCTTACTGATAGAGACCATGATGGCAGTTGTTTGAAAATAACGACAATGTACATTTTGTTATTAATGTTAATTTGTAGGAGAGCCTACTTTTTTTCTAATTTAGATAACCACACATTTCCTGTTGATTGTTTGTTTTTGAAACGTCTAGTTAAATATTAGAAAATTTACGAAACAGTAAACTGTCGCCGGTAGAATCGTATACAAAAGACCATTTCCTGCAAGAAGAAAAGGTGTTTTTTGGCATTTTTTAAATGATTAGTTTAGTTTTTGTGGGTATTCAGAGAGGTGTTGATGTTAAATATAGCCACAGGGTTCATTAATAATTAATTAAATAACTGATGAAATATGATTGATATGAATATGTGGCCTAACTTTCACTATTTGATTACTTATCCTATACTAAACAAAGCGATGTTACTTTAACCTATATCTTACACCATACCAAGCTATGATAAATAAACCTATAACGAACACACTACCAAGCTATGTTAGATAAACCAATATTTGATATGCTACACCATACTAAACCGTGTTAGATAAACCTATCTCTTACATCATACCAAGCTATGTTAGAAAAATCTATATCCTACACCAGATACCAAGCAGAAGTTTTTTAACTTTTTAGTTCTTGTCATTGACTTAATCGAAACGTACAAAAATTATATTCGATACCATTAAGTGTATTATAATTGATGACTGTTGTCATAGACGTATTTTCCCTGCAAATGATCTTTGAAAGTAGCTTGCTTAATGATGACCTTGTGGGTGGATGATTTGCAAATAATATGGCATTTGAAACATGTTGAAAATTGCGAATCATACAAGTTTTGAAAGTTTTGTTACCAAACATATCTAATGCGATTAACTTGAAAAGAAAATTAGAGATTAAACTTTGAATTATTGATTGTCCTGAAATGAGATTTTGTCTTCTAGCCTTTTGTTATCCCCAAAAGCGTCTTGAAGATCGGAGGTAGCCTCAGGAAGTGATTAAAGCTTAATTGATATCCTTATAGCAATGAATATTCAGTGACTATATTTTAAAAATTATTAATGGTGTATGGTCCTGTGATTTTATTCTATTTATCGCGTTCAGAATGGCGATTGTCAATTATAAAGTAACATGATACCATTTCGTAAGTTAGATCTTGATTATTTGAGTTCAAGAAGATTGCAGCTAAACATTACATTGCATTTACATTAAGAAAAGAAACTTCTTCAAAAGACAGATAAATAAAGCGAAACCCTCGAGGAACATATACCTTGAAAGAAAAATGTGTGTTTGTTCGAGATGAATGGATACGATCCCCCTGATTGCGACATTGATTTTTTTTTATGAAATCCCACGTTTGTCAGTACACTTTGTGGCTAAAGTTTCCTTTATAAAAGAGTTGCTTCTAAAGTAAAGAGAGAAGTTTGTGAAACAGTCGACAAGAACACCAGGTAAGACATATCTTTACATCAATCTGAAAAAGTGTTGTTAGCTTTTATTTATGTGTATCGGGGCCATTCATTGCATCATTCGAATTTGGAGTCGGATTTCTGTGGTTCCTGTAATTTAGCAACTGCTGAACGTCTCTATTGTACACTGAGATAATTTTATTTTAAGGTATTTAAATGCTTATAGTGGAATCGATGGTCCCAATACACATAAAAAGTTTAGAATACCTTTTTAACCAAAGTAAAATCCATGGGCTTGCTGAAAATAACATTCTTACCAATGGAGATTCTATCTTATATAATATCATTACGTGCATCGAGGACCTTTATGGCTTTCATCTGCACCATTCCTACATTCCGTTAACCGTCGTAATCTGATTTAGTTTCTATGAGATTATAGATAGGAACCACAGACAAACATTGGAAGGGTGCAAATGAAATATAACACATGATTAGGACAGATTAGGATCAATTTAAAGTGGACTCTTTTACTAGTTGTCAAGAAATCCATGCAAAATTGATTACTGTCAGAGCAAAGAAAAAGGTTTTCTGAATATATTTTTTCTATTTCTTTTGTAATAAAATTGCAATGTTCCTCAAAATGTTACTGTTAGTTCAAGAATGTCTTTTCGCTGATGTTTTCATTGGAAAGATACACATTTCTGTCCTAAAAATTTCAATCTAAAAAGTCTCAAAAATAATTGGCTGAAAACTGTCCTCTATAAACACTCAATAAAATTTTGAAGACATGATGTGTGCTCATGCTTATATTTTTATCAACAGTACTATTTTGGGGCTGATATGTCAATTCTCATTATGATAATGAGCAAAATTCAAACAATCGTTTACCTTTACTTTGCTTAGACAATAGATTGATTGTTCGAGTTTCTCTCGACAATACGTAGGTAAACAACAACATGCAATGTGTAAATAAGGGAAATTTTGCCAATACATTAAAATTAAATACCTTTATGCATATCAGTAGTAATTGTAGTTTGATTTCGGACGCTAAACTCCATGTAATTTTTCAGGTAAACTATATTTATCACAGAGGCATAACAATGTACAAAACAAGACATCTGGGATTTTTCCTCGTGATTTTGCTGCATCATGTTTTAATGGTTTTTCAATCGGAAGGGTATGAATTTGGCTTTAATAAGAGGCAATCCGAAGATCCAGAAAACAGTAAAGGATACAGAATGGGGTATATTTTTGGTAAAAGATCGTTTATAAGAGATAACAGTCTGTTGCAGGCCATTTCGAGGTAAATAATTGAAAAAAGTATACATGTATACTGCTTCTTCGCCAAATAAAATCGCTTAAGCAGCTATCACAAGTCCACAGTAACAGAACAACTGAATTGATACAAATCATCGAAGTGATGTTATCTTGGAATAAGATAACTTTGTTAATTCCTTGGTAATAACCGAATTGAAAAACACAGTCGCAGGTTATATAGAGTGATCCAGATATGTTGAAATGGGCTACACCCGCTATAATAATTTTACTTGTGTATTCCACATTTAATTACATCGAGGACAATCACTCTTTGATTAAGGTAACTGTTTCTGAACAATTATAGCCAACAGTAGTTGGTCTATCTAATAAATGTATATAAACATGACTTTATAGCCATCACACATAAATCAAATTGTTTTTACAGGCAAACCATAAATATGGAGGAGTTACTGAAGTTATCTAAAATTAATCCTGCTTTGGCCACTTTGATTTATAAAAATTCAAAAGGTAATGTTGTTTTCGGCAGCTACTATCCATTCCCCTTATGTACAAATATTATAATTTTAAACGTTTGGTCAACATTGTAAAATCATTTTGTGGTTTATTATTAACGTCGGTAGAAGGTGTCAAGATAGTTTTATGAAATTGCATTCTATCAAACAGATTAAAACACTTCTTACATAAACTTATACATCCGAACCAAACTGCTTTCGTTCTGAACCGACATATTAAAGAAAACATTAAGGTAATAGATGATTGTTTGAACTTGCCCGTCAGAAAAGAATTGTAGGTTTCTTGCTAGCTGTTGATTTCCAAAAGGCTTTTGATAGTATAAGTCATAACTTTATTTTCGACTCATTGCGAAAATATGGTTTTGGTCGAAATTTTATTCGATGGGTAAAGATACTATATGAAAATATTCAATGTGATGTGTTTTTATCGGTTTAATTTAGTCATAGAGATTTACAAGCGATACGAAATGAAAGCGAAATACATGGGATTACCGTTGGCATGAAAAAAGTAAAAGTCATTAGCTATGCAGACTTCTTAAACGATGTTACTTTTGCACGTCACCTTTTAGAAGATTTGAGGTTGTTTAGTATAGTTTCTGGTCTAAAGATAAATGTCAGTACAACTGAGCCTATAAATTTAAATATTAGATTTAGAAACTGCATGAAAAAAACAAGTCAAAATTTGTGAAAACAGTATTATAATATTAGGAATTTATTTCTCAATCAGTAAGTAATTAATGATTAAAGCAAACTTTTTAGATAAACTACCGGAAAAAATGGTATAATAAATAACTTAATTTTTCAGGCGAAATACAAATTATAAAGACTTTTATTATTTCAAAGATAATA